TAATAACCAATTTCACAAATTCAGACGGTAAAATTATTTTATATTATTTTATAAATAGATTTATTTTAATAATCAAATTTATTTTATTGATATATATTTACAAACACAAATTTAATAAGAATAAATTTTTACTTTTAAATTTATCTTACTAATTATTATTTCAGGTTTATTTAATATTATTTAATATCAAAGATATATAATAAAAATTATTTACAATTAACTTATGTATTAATTCAAATTTAAGATTTTATACTATATACTTGTTAACGTAACTAATAAACTAGCCAATTATAATATTATAATTATAAAAAATTATTTAAACTACGTGTAAATTTAAAACTCTAATATACTTTTATAATATTTTGAGAAAAGATTTGCCAAAATCTTTATAATCCACTTTATATCTAATCAAAATTTTAATTACTGTATAATAATTATATTATTCATAATAATTCTTTTTATAACTATTTACGTGTATTATCTTACACATCAATATATTCAATTTCAGTTATTTACGGTATGTAAATACTCAGATCGATCTAGTAACTCAAGTGGCCAAATTGCTTTGTTGCGACCTTTGAAAGTAGTTTACTACCTCCCTTTTTGGAATTTGTTGGTAGATTCTTTCTGATCGGCATTAACAATAATGAAGGGTTGGACTGAGTACTTTTTTTCATTCTAATTGTTTTTAAATATTTCGTAATTTTAATCCACATGATGCTAACATAAAATATATATCATCGATAATCACGAGCACCATTGATATCAAACGTATTATCAATATTTGAAATATTATCGTTATCTGTCGTCGTACCTTTAATCCAAAAAGAATTCGGATCGATGCATCTTGTCATTATCAGTAAATAAATAGCAATAAATCCTTTGGTAAAATACATGTTTTGAGAATAAAGAAGTATAATTCCAACCATATCACTAAATGATAAAGCAATAAAGTTCAATTTAAATAAATATTTCTTGTCAGGTGAAAGCTGTGATTGTTTGATTATTATAAGCTTAAGTAGAAAGAAAAAACCAAGATATATTGAACCAGTTATATAAAATACATGAGCATTGGAATGAAATAAAGAATTTGCTTTGACGAGTAAGTAAATAGGAAATGTTATTACATTAATAAATTCTACTATACATATTACAATGTTCAATAAAGGACTCATGTTTTTTGATTGATTAAAGATGTCAGAGATTATGAATAAAATGCAAATAAAAAGTAAGGCCGTGAAAATGGTTATTATAATTGCAAATGATAAATTGAATCGAGAACTATTATAAAAAACTATGAAAATAGGAAGAAATATAGTTCCGACATTAAGTATTATAATATCAAATGTTATGATTATATATACGTAAGGTTTTTTTAAGTATTTGTTTAATTGGAAGATAGCGAACAAAACGAGCAATATTAATATAAAAGTTAAAAAATCCAAAAAATCTGTAGATGGATCGTATGTCGGATTTGTGGATATATTTTGCGCGTCTATTAAATTTAGCGAGGGTGTAATACACAATATTGAAAATATGAATACCAGCTTTTGAAAGAAATAAGGGCTCATCGCTAATGAATGTAGTTTTAAAAATCAAATTAGAATTTTAAAAAGATAACAAAGCTAATGTTTCAATAAATGTTTATTAATAAATGTTGTACATGTCAATCGATTTTCCATTTGAGCACGCTGTTACTTAATTTAGATACAAATGGGTTGCAAATTTTTTTTCTACGTATTAATTTTTTCTAAAAAAAACATTTACGCATATAACTGTATAGATTCTTTCTGATATTGCTAATTTTAATTTTAAAACGAATTATTATACTGAGATACGTACTATGGAATCTTAATTATGCATAAGGTAACACTAAACTCACAATGTTTTGTTTTTGTGAAATTGAAGAAAGCACATCGACTTATGCTATTATAGGAAAGGATTTGGTACAGCTTGTAACACATTAATAGTAAAATACTAATTACATTACGGAATAAACCGAACCTTTTCTTTATTAGTACGTATATACTTTATTATTATTGAGAATTTACAAATAACCGGCGGTGATCATCACCGGTATGTAATTAGCCAATAACGATAACCCAAAAAAAAATTCATTTACTTTAGGGTTAGGGCTAGGCCTGGGATTTTAGCAAGGTGTTAGATAACTAGTAATAATTTGCAGCATAGGAGAGTAGCTTCTTAGTAAGAAAATATCATCTGATAAAATAGTACTTCTCTAACTACTAGCAATAATATATCTGATATAGTTATTGATGCGATACAGCCAATTACTGGATCCTAGTAGTGTTCCGCACGGGCCGGTTCCGGCGAGTTTATTAGGAACCGTACCCGAACCGCTTTATGAAGTCAAGTTCTCATGTGGTCTCAGAACCGTATCCATTTAGATCCGGAACCGACCCGGTATATCAAGAAACATTTAAAATTGTAAACTACGCTTATAGTAATTTGATTATGAAATCTAAATACCGATCATATTCGTAATAAAGTTTTTTTTGGTTGCATTATAAAAGCAACCCCGTTGAAATTTTTTTTTTAATTTTAAAGCTGATTTCTGTTTATGTAATAGAGTATAAATGTCGTAGATATTTTAAGCAAAGGACGTGTACCGCTATATGAACTATAAATATAAACCTTATAAAAAGGTTTACTATGATGTTTTATTTTAATAATCAAGTTATGAATTCACTCTTTTATAAGGCTTCTTAACTTACAGCTAGAATTCCGGCAATTGTATTTTCCAACTCATAAATTGCATCGGTCTATATCAGATATCCAATTAATTATTACGTTTCGGGTAACTTACCTAATGAATTAGTGGTGTTCATCCGGTATAGCAATAGTAAAATTTAATTAAATCTTTTGGTAACGATTAATAGAACTAATAATGGTGTAATTGATATATTCACACGTATCTTTCTCTGATTAATTTGTGATTGTGTTTATGTTCAAGCATAGCAATAATTGTTGATTAATGGTTGTGTAAATACTTTATTATTGCTATTTTTTTTATCATTACCATTAACAAAATTGTAATATTTTATCTGCGCTAATTATGATTTTAAAGATCCGTAATAATAATGTTGAAAAAAATAAAGTGTTTGAACAATTATTTACATCTATGTTTATATAAATTAAAATTTTCTACTTGATGTATTAAACCAGTGATGTCAAATGGAATGTTCCAGTGGAAATTACTAGAACTGGATGATCATTGGAATGAACTGGAAAATAAATTTAACATATTAGCTTCTAGTGGCAAGTTGCCACTAGACCCTTCCAGTGAGAAATTTTACTCACTGGAAGGAAGTTCTAGTAGCTTTCAGCGGCTTCCAGTGACTTTAATAGTTAAAATTATAGAAATACAAAGCAAAATTTAAGCTTATAGCCAAGTTACTATATCCGAACTGAATTTATTCATATTGTTCTGTAATTACTATTTGAGATTTGAGTACTAGAATATTAAATTCGGTAATATGAGTTATACTTTGCATCGTCAACTTGTGAATTGCATTTTTTTTAAAAATAATTAATAAAATAAATCTTTTAATATAAAGTTGTATCTATACTTGCTGGCAAAATGGCAAAACCCAGACAAATTCAAAAAAACAATTGCTATTATGCTTAATAAAATTAGGAGACTTGAATAATTTTATCAATAGCAATAAAAACAATTTAAATCAATTACAAGTAGAAGGATTAAATACTTTGCTAATTGGTCTTGATGAATTTTTTGAAAATGAATCAGCTACTTATATAAACGATGATTATTGATTAGAATTATTCTCTTCTGCAGCTTTAGAAAGCATAAACATAATTCATGCTACATCAAACTTCTATGGAGAACTATTATTTTCAAATGTTATAGTTAGTAATAAAGACAATAAAAGTGAAATTAATTGGTATGACTTGGTATATATCAATAAATTTATTACTTTATTAACATGTTTATAAATATGTCATTAACTAAATAGCATAAATAGATTTGAAATTTCTTAAATTAAAATACCTACTGCTATATACTACTATAGTTTTAAGAAATTTCAAATCTACATAAGCTGTAGCATATCGATATACACTAACAAAATTTTTTTTATCTAAGGTGCTGCTAATATTCAAGTTTTACTTAGCTATAAATAGTAAACTAATTGAATTCACTCATATTCATTAGTATAAGGAATATAGTGAGTTATGGAAATGCTAGAGATTAAAATTGATTAAATATTATAGTTGTATATTAATAGATAGTATAGATAAAATAGTATATATAGTCCTAAGATTTGATAAAGCAAATAATTATTTAGTAAATAGTTTTATATTTTAATAAAATTATTTAAAGCAAAATAAAACAAATTATGAGTATTAATTTATTATATATATAAGTTACTTGATATAATGAAATATTATATATGTTGATTTTTAAATATAACATAGCAAACTAATCAATTTATACTAATTAATTGATATATTTCATTGATTATCTATATCATTATAAATCATTTATATGTATAATCAATTTTAATTGATTAATTTTTAATTGATAATATTTGAAAAGTTATATTTAATCGATTTTAATCACTATTTAATTATTGATTTCTATTGAAAATGATTATTATCACTTTTAATCATTAGTAATTTTTATTTTATATTAATATAAATTGATATATAACTAATTTATCATTATATATCGATTTATTTTAATTAATTAATATTAATTATTGGCTATATATTGATATATAGTCCCTAAAAAAATTTAGTAATGATTGCAACTAATAATGAAGGTACAACAACTCTTCACAAAAGCAGTACTACTAATATAGATAATATTACTACTATGATTCAAAATAATATTATTACTATTAATCAATATGGTATTATTATATCTGTTCAAGATAGTACTATAACAAAAAATTTTGTTGATTTAAATAAAAATGAAATTCAATTAGCTAAACAAGAGATTTTAATTGAATATACGGATAAGTTAAATAAAGTTCAAAAATTAATAAACAAATTAAAATTTACTAATTCAATATTAGCTCAAAATTAGTAAATATTATTTATTTTATTTTATATTTATTTTAAAATCGTAAAAATTTACTAATATATAAATATAAATTAAAAATATATTAATAGTATAATATATTACTACTTTTTAACTAGCTAATTAGAACTTAAATATTCTACTACTATAGTAATTTTGAATTCTAATTTGTTAATTAAAACTAGCAATATATTATACTAGTAATAAATAATAACTTTTAAATTTAATTTAGAATATCTTAATCAAGATAAAGATATAGGTATTAAAGAAATACTAGATTATGATATTATTAAAAAGATATTTTTAAATAATATTAGTAAAGAAAAAATATCAATTTAAGAAGAATATGATACTTCAACAATTCATGATGATGTTGAATTTTTTTTAAACTCTAATAATTTAATTCAAGATATACTTGATACTTTTAACAAACTTCTGTTTTTTTTTAAAATATCTGCTAAATAATTTAGAAATATCTAAATTAGAAATTGAATCAGTTAAGTCATTATATGAAAAAACAAAAGCTTTACAATTTGAATAAGTTTATATTTAAGCTACTTAAATAAAAAATTAAGATAAGTTAGTAAGTATATATATATATATATATATATTTTTTTTTTTTTTTTTTATAAACCTCAAGATAGTAATTATCTAGAGATATTATATTGTTACAAATGTCAGCTTTCTTAATTCAACACAAATAATATAAGACACAAAAGAGAGGCTCTCAATGGTGTCTAAGTAGAATATTATTTTACTATAGCAGTTCATTACAAAGTTAATAAAAGAGCAAAGATTATATTTTATTTAGAATACAATATTGATAATACAAGACTATC